ACAGATAAACTCATGCCATTCACAGCAACATGGACGGAGCTGGAAGGGATCATGCTCAGTGAGATAAGCCAGAAAGAAAAAGTAAATAGTAGATGGTTTCATGCTTAGGAGGAATGTAGAGGACCCAAATAAGGGATCAGGGAAAAAAAGAATAATCATAACAAAGTAACTATCAAAATCAACAAGCAACTATAAACAGTCATTTTTCTCTTAACCAAGAAGTTGTATCATTTTCCATATAAAGGCTTGCTTATGAATATTTTTTAAAGATTTATTTATTTATGCATACAGAGCTCACTTATAAGCCAGAGATGCAGGGGTGGTGAGAGGATACATCAGAGACAGAGTGGGGAGCAGAACAGGCAGATCAATGAAGTACACTGCTGAGGGGAGCAGCAGGTGCGTCAGGAGAGGTCTGCCTTGCCATGTGGGTCACTTCCAGGGCGGGGATTGAACTCATGCTGAAGTGGCTTTAGCTTCTTAGTGCTGTGCTTTAACCCACTGCGCCACCAGGGAGGGCCTACTTAACCAGAAGCTTTGCTTGCAACTACTGAAATGTCTATCAATAAGTAAATGGATAAACAAATGGTAGTATAGTATAACAATATCATACAAAATACTCAACCTTTTAGGGTTTATCTAAGAGGATAAATGATTGATACATTCGGCAACATAGCTAATCTAAAAATAATTATCCTGACGTTAAAAAGCCAGAAAAGAGTGCATGTACTAAATGAGTTATTTTATATACAGTTACCTAAAATGTGAACAAAGCTAATTACTGATAGCAAGTGATAGAGCAGTGGTCTCCTGGGGACAGAGTGGGATGGGAAGAGCTTACAAAAGAGCATAAGGAATCTTTAGGGGTGGCGGATCTGTTTAGTATCTTGACCATAATGGTGGTTTCACAGGTGCATTCATATATAAAAAAATGACCAAATTGTCTCCTCTAAACATATGCAGTTTATTGTGTATCAATTAAAGCCATTAAAATAGGATGATGAAAAATTTCCCCGGATTTAAAAATGATGAAATTGCCAGTACTCTTTCCCCCAGGCTTGAAGGTTTTCAAGACGTAGGTTATAAATGACTATTTTATGCACTTACAAGGTCACAATTAATATACTCCCTCCAGATTTTTTTTATAAAAAGGATGTCATTAAAGACTCTTGAGCCCTGAATTTGCACACATGTTTATATTTGTGCATTTGCCATTGCATTGGGATTAATGCTTTAAAGGTCTCATCTTTACGGTCGTAAATCCCAGGTCCAGATGGCACTGTGTCTGGAGAGAGAGTAAATTTCATCTTCATCTGGACAAATGCCTCTACTCAGAGGTGGTCTGTGACTTAAGGGAATGAGACATGCTCATCAGGAAGAAATTCACCCGGAAAAATGAATCTTACATTTATAAAACCAATCCAACAGCTAATTTCTGGCAGATAATTTACATGCTCTGTGTCACATGCCACCATTGACCTCAAAGTAGCCAGGATGGACAGGCCCCTGAGCTGGCCAGTAGTGATCACTTCCCTCTAGTCACTTCTGCTTTTCTATCTCTGGAATTCCCCTCTATGCTGGGACCAGGCACAGGGCAGAACTGGGTGCGATTAGAGGCCCCTCTAGGCAACCATCAATTAACAGATGTTGAGAGTTGACAGAAAATGCTACCTACCTTCTGTATCCTTCAGTGAGGGCATTTTTTTTTTCAATTGAGCCAACACTGGTTTAAAACACTGTGTATGACTTACAGGAGTAGTTTCACACCTCCTCGGATGTGCAGCACCACCAATACCCCGCAGTCCTTTACCATAGAGGGCTCCCACCCTCTCCTTGGGTCCCACGCCCACCCTCACTCCTCATGTAGCAGCCCCGACTCTGCACACATATTTCTGGGAATGTTTTTAGTTGAGTTGAGTCTGGCCCTTTTTCTTTCTCTATATTCTGCATGCATGAAGTCATCCAGTATTTGCCTTTCTCCCTCTGACTTGTTTCACTTAGCATAATCCCCGCCAATTCTTTCCATGTTGTCACAAATGGCAAGAGATCTTCATTTTTTGTTTTATGGTTGAATATTATTTCATTGTGTGTGTGTGTGTGTTTGTGTGTATACACACACATACACACATATATGTATGCCATATATATATATACCACACACACATTTTTTATACACACACACACACACACACACATACACACACACACACACACACACATATATACCATATCTTCTTAATCCACTAGAGAGGGACAATTCTAAGACACATTCTAGGTGATACCTCATAGTTACTGGCAAGGCTGAATTCCAAAGTCCATAGTGATAAATAAGTAAATTATATAACCTGATTGCCTTGATAACTTCTCCTTTTCTGCCTTCCCAATGTCTCATTCTTTCTACCAGAAATTACTTCCCAAATAGAATACATACATCTTACTCCTTATCTCAAGTGTCAGTTCTCATCATAGTACCTCAAATTTTGTACTTTCAAACAGTAAACAAGTTCAACATCTAGATTATGGGTTAGTCTATAAAATAAATTGAATGAAGAGCTTTGGAAGTAGACTGGAGTATTCTTTCAAATTTCTCATGCCTGAAAGATATTTTGATGTGTTTTCCCTTTAGCTTCTTAATCCTTCATAAATAAAACTTTGGCTGTCTAGTCACAGATTTAAAAAATGATTCAGCAAGAAGAATAAAGAATAAACACTTGTATTTAAAATAAGAACCAATTTTATAAGAGAAATAACAACCAAATAAGACCCTGTGGGCTCTTTATCACTTGACAATCAGTAATACAGCTACACAGTAAGTCATTACCCGCTTAAGAATCACCTTGCAAGGTCCAGAATGGCCTATTGACATCAGAATCACCTACATGCTCCTGAGTCAGTTTCTGCTTCATCTATTGACTATTTACTTTACCCAGAAGATTGTTGTTGTCATCAGGTAGAACTTAAAAACTAAAATGTAGATGCCAACTGTTAGTCTAATTTATTATTCAGGATAGAAAACATTGCTGTCATAATACATTTGTGATGATCATTGATTATTCTTGACAGAAATGGGCTTATAGAAGAACATGAAACATCTCCGCACTGCTCTTGATGCTATTTGTCTGCTAAGAAAAATTATTACATTAAAATGATGAGAGTTATCTTTGCTAGCTATCCATATATTCATTATATGTGTAAGTATGCTCTATGTGTACTTATGAATATATATGTAATTAATAATTGATATATAGACTTAATTCGTGATACAATAGGTCATTGGCCTAATGACTACTTTGCTACTTCAATTATATAAAATTCTAAACTTTAACTTATTAAAAAATATAAGGAGAGTTATTAAATATGGATGAAGTAAAAGCTTGAGTGAGAGAGAGGAACAAAATGCTTTCATTTTGATTATCATATCTCATGTCATTTGAGTGATGGGATATATAGTATCCCATCTAGTATTTCTCATCTGATAGGGAAAAATTGTGAGTCGCTTGCTAAGAAGTGAAGCTCTGAATCTTACCAACTTTCAAGGTAAGAATATCTGCCCATCATTCCAAGAAGGTAATCTCAAAAGATTAGCCCTGTCTCATGTGTATCTGAAAAGCCAGCAAAGCATAGTGGTTAAAATCCAGTGCTTTGGAGTAATATAAACCTAGGCTACTCTGCTTATTATGTATATAACTTTAGATAAATTATTTAACTCTCTGAGTTTTGGTATCCTTAGATCTAAAATAGGATTTATAATATCTGTCTGCTATCAGTGAAACCATCTGATATTTTTCTCTTTCCTTTTGACTTACTTCACTGGGCATGATCCCTTCTAGCTCCATCTAGAAGGAGGAATATAGGGGAATCAAAAAAGGGGTCAGGGAAAAAAATAACAACAATTAAAAAACACAACAAAATACTAAGCAAAAATAATCAAGACAATATAAATCAGAGACATTCTGCAGTGGTGGGGGTGGGGAGGAAGAGTAATCAAAACGAGGGCAGGAAGAGCACAAGAGATTAAGGGTACATGGGTGAGATTGTGGTGGAAATTCTATGGGAACTACACCTGATGGAAAACATATACAAATAAAGAAATTAAATATAAAGGAAAAAAATCTTAAAGAAACATCTATAGTATCTATCTGACAGGGATATTGGGAGAAATAAATGTATTAAAGCCCTCAGCATGTTTATGAAATGATTGTTAATAGCATGAGTTTCAATGAAAGAACCCCCAAACTAAAAATGAGCAAAGACTTAAAAATATACATATGGCAAATAAATCCCTGAAATGTATCCATCATCATTAGTTTTAGAGAAATGAAAAGTTAAACAATGAGATATTACTAATATCTACTAGACTGCCTAATTAGAAAAAAAAAAGACTTGCCCATATTAAGTGTTGAATGTGTAGAGCACATGGAACTTTCAGAGACTTCTGGTTGAGGCTATCATATGGTGCAACGCCCTTGGAAAATAGTTTGGACATTTCTTAAAGTGTTAAACATACAGGCCCTCCCTGTGGCACAGCGGGTTAAAGCACATCACTAAGAAACTAAAGCCATTTCCGCATGAGTTCGATCCCATCTGCCCCGGAAGTGACCCACATGGCATGGCAGACCTCTCCTGACCCGCCGCCCACTGCTCCCCTCAGCAGTGTTCTGCTCCCCACGGTCTCTGGTGAATCCTCTCACCATCCCTGCATCTCTGACCTATACCTCAGTTCTATATCTTTAAAAAAAAGAAAAGTGTTAAACATACACCCATTCCACTCCTAAGATTTTATCTGAGAATTGATAGCATTTGTTCACATAAAGACTTGTATACATATTCATAGCACTTGTGTTGGTAATAGAAAGACAAAAAATATGACCCCACTGTCCATCAAACAGCTCAAAAGCTCACAGGAAAAACTGTATTATCACCTATGTGTCTGAATAAATAATAAAAAAAAAGGATTTTTTGGTTCTTTCGGGTTCCAAAAAAAATGGAAGTATGCACAATATACACAGTATCATTCTATTCATGGAATATTTCCAAAAGATGCAAATGAATCCGCAGTGAGATAAAATAAGTTAGGGGTTTCTTGTGGTGTCAGGCTGGTAGGGAGAAAAGAATCACAAAAGACTTTTGGGTGTGAAAGATATGATCATATTTGTTGTGTTGGTAATTTCCTGGTTATATCATATGAAAACAAAATTTCATATGTTTTCAGTTAGTATATGTCAAGTATACCTTTTAGACCATAAAAATGACATAAAATATTAGCACAGCAGTGCAGAAAAACTATTAAAATGTTTCATTAGGTGATAGTTATTGACCTTCATCAAATTCTACATGCTATCTATAACCATGTATATTTTAAAAGTGAGTATATACCACCTGCATCATCTAAAACAAATAACTACTGAGACAGAAAAATGCAGTTAAAAGACACCAGGATAAAAGATAAGACTTTGATAGAATGCAAAATATATAATATAAAATTCTTGAGCTCAATTCTAGTATTACATGCCCCGAAGTGCAAAATGAAAGAATATAAATAGCAAAATAAAACAAGACCCTAGACAGATTAGTTTTCTTCATAGCTTAATTCTCGATTCTGAGAGGACCAATTAGTCTGGGGAGATTAACCTCAGGGAAAATTAACCTCAGGGTCTCTAAATTCTTAGATTTGACTGTGCTCTTGAGTTTTCAGAATATTGCACTTGGGATGATGACTATGATCAACCTCATCCAAAAATGAAGCATTAAGTGCCTATTTCTGTGAGTTGTACAAAGAATAGAGAGCACGCTGCGCTCTGCACACAATTATCCCCATCCTAAGGGACTGACTGAGGACATGTTCAAAGTCAAAATTGAGTAGTCTTGTCAACGAAGCACTCAGCCCTAGCTCTGTGGCTGTGACTTATCTTTTCCCTGGCACCAGTAGGTCAGTGTGGGGCATCAGTTTTTATTCAGATTTACTGTTTTTTGACAAAATGATGTGTTTATGTGCATTTGATCAGAGTCTGCCTTTATTTTAACATTGTTCCCTTCTGTTGGGCTTTTAACCATTGCAAATACTCTTTCCAACTAGCTTGTGTATTCTATGATAATTGAGAAGAGAAGCTGATAAAACGGAGACAAACTAAAGGAACTTGAGCCAGTCTGTAGAAGGGACACAGTCAGGACATTTCTCCTATGAAACAACTCTGGGGCCATTCAGCACTGTCTCCTAAGTGTCCCAACAAGACTGAGTCTCAGTTGCCCACGGTGGCTCCTTCCCTTCTCTGACTCAGTCCTTTTCCATTCAGGGGCTACTAGAGATCATCTCCCAAACAAATGAAGTAACGTTGTCAAATAATTACCTCAGGATTTTGAAAACCCAGACAGAGAGACCCCACAGAAAAGGTGACAACCAAGGGAAGACTGTGGCCTTGCCATTTGAAAGCCTGAGGCTGTCATTTCCTAGATGAATTGATACACTCATTCTGGAGTTTAGCCATACAGATAGAAAACCCAGACTTTGCAGTTCATTGGCATTTTCAGTATTTTACTGTTAATTGTCTCTTAACTAAGTCATGACTGATGATTCAGTGCCAGAAATTCAATGAGTAACTTGACGGTAAGGTGGAGTTTGTTCTAGGAATCTGTGTGCTTTTCTTTTCTTCAATAGTGCCCCTGTCAAGGTACCTGAAGTTCAGTAAATAAACAAAGTGGCTCGCTTGGCAGTGAATCAAAGCAAAAGGAAATGAATGTTTGCGGAACTGTTCGTGGGGCCATAGTGAGGCCACGTGGACCTCCTCTTTCCCCTGGTCAGTGGCCAGAATGTTTGAGCCCACTTTGCCTTCAGAGTTGTCTCCTTTGCAGCGTGCTTCCAGGGATACAGTTTCTCTCTCTTGATTTTCACTCCTAGAGGACAGCCTTCTTTCTAGTTGAAGAAGGTCAGAGAAAACATAGGAAAATGTCACAAAACAAAGCTAGGAATGATGTTCAACTCAACACACAGGCTATGTCAACTCTGAGCTCTCTTACCAATGTAAAGGAATAAGTCTACAAATGAACCCCACTAACGGGAGTTCCAGTCATCACAGCTCCTTGACACCAATGTTTATTCTCTGTCTGGGACGCTAGGTATTTGGCTCATCTTCATCCATATGGGAGCCTCCATCAAATTAAAGGGGAGCATGTGCTCAAAGGCCATAGGTGTTTTCTTAGCACCTGAAATCAAAACAGCAAGAAGCAAAGCTGTGGCTGTTCCTTTCTTCCCCCAGACCCCTCCCAGCAAGAAGAAATGATGTCAGATTGGTGCTGGGAAGTAAGTATTATCTGTGCATTTTCAAAGGTTTCCACCTCTAACAAACAGGAGTTGAAGCCCTTTGTTTTTTGTTTTGTTTTGTTTTTAAAGAATTAAACTGAAAATATGAATGGCTTTGCTGTTACTCAAATTAATTCAGGCACTGCCACCTCCCTCCCCTTCCCCATTTCTTTTTGTGCTGACAATTTCCAGAGCTTTTCTCTTTGATTTTCTTTAATGAAATTCACCAAGAGAAGTGCAGAGAGGTTTTTAAGGGGAATTGTAAGCTTGACAGACTATGGCCCTTTAAACTATTTTAATTAAGTTCTTAAATGCTTCAGGAGAACACAGCACACCAACAATAACAAAGAAACAAGAGAAGGGTCTCTGCTTTACAGTCAGGCACAGAGATAAAATTAAGTAAGACCTTTCTGTCCGATACAAATCTTCCTTTATTTCTCATGCTGACCCTTAATGGGCACGGCCTCGGTATTTTTTTATTTGGCCTACGACGGAGCTGTCCAAAAAGCAGTGTCTTCTAGTCATCTCTGAGATAGGAAGTCTTTGCAAACCAGAATGCTGTCTCCTGCTTTCCTTTGTTGTTAGAAAAGATAACTGCTTTTCAGAGATGCATAGAATCTTACCTCACATACAAGCAGAAAGCTTCCTGTCTCCATTTGTTTTCTCCCACAGTCTGTTTTCAGGCTGCAGTGACCAGTGGCTGTTCTCTGACATTTCATCCTAACCATATTCTGTGCAAGCAGCAGTTACTAAGATTGTTCAGTCTCTCATGTTGCAAGAACTGGCAAAGAAAAACAAGGCATGAATTATATTGTGAATGATCTGTTTAAAAGTACCCAGGCCATTTGGAGGGAGTTGGAACTAGAAAGGTGTTTCTTTAATAAGCCTCAGTTGTCTGAACTGTCTTGGTTTTCACATCTCTCTCCTGGTGCTAAGTCCAGTATCTACCACAGAAGGCTGGTAGGAGAATTAAAAGAGGAAATAAAGCTAAAGTAATTTGCATAGTGTCTGACATTTCATAGTACTCATTTAACTGGTAATGTTTATTGTAGCATTTTCTCTTTTTTAATAATGTACCATTAATCAGCAATCGATTCTTTTTAATTTTTCCCTCCATGAAACCACCTGTGCCCATACCCATCCTTTTCACCCCCTTTTTTTTCTTTTAAGATCATATATTGAGCATATACTCTATTTAATGTACCGAAATAAACACTTTTTGGTACAATTATCTTCATTAGATCTGTGAAAAATGGGTTCTATCAAGTTTGCTTTTTCCTGATTACAGTGTAAGACATACTCTTTGTAGAAAACTTTAAAAATGTGCAAAAATATACAGAAGGAAATAGAAATTATTGATGACCCCAACACCCAAAATTAGCCATTCTTAACATTTTAGTGTATTTGCCCCAATTATTAAAATATAAATACTGCAAAATTGGATGCCTACCGCAAATAAACATTAGTTCCTATATTTATTGACACCCGCACCATGATACTTTCCCCAGGGCATTTAATAATTTTGAATAACATTGACTGTGATGTGTATGCCATTTAAAAGATGCATAAAGTTTATTTGATATGCTGCAAATTAGCTGTGTTGTCCCCAGTTCATAGCTAGAGAAAGTGAAGCTAGGAAAGCCGAATGATATGCTAAGGAAAGACAGTTTATGAGTAGACTCAGGCTTCAAAACCAAGCCTGTATGACTGCAAAGTAGAAGCTCAGAGCCCTTCCTAAATTTCCTTGGTCTCCCCTATATTTCTACCATTCTCCCTTCTTCCTTCCCCACTCCTTTTCTGTCCTTTTCTGAAGAGAAATCTTTGCTTTAGTGCCTTCTTTGGTGGGTACTCAAACTATGACAATTGCAGGCATACCCAGATTTTACCTCCTCGACATTGCTTGGTGACCTGCCCACTGGACTCTTCTGTATCTGCCACCATATGATTCTCGCAGAGGAGAATTCATGGTGAGCATAGCACTTTCAATAGTGTTAACTTTTATGTCTGTAGCCTTCATGGCTTAGAAAATTGTTTTGGATGTTGTTTCATCTTCAAGAAAGCAGGTCAGTTCCTATCGAGCCCATTTTATAGCTCAGGTAAAGTTGGCCCAGACAGATTGCTCAGAGTCTCAAGGAGATAGTGGCTATTTTCTGTAAATTCCTGTTGAATTCCATGACATATGACTCTTTGCTAAGCTCTCTTAGATTATCCCACGTATCAGAGCCCTGGAATAATAAGGAACTATCTTTGATTTGCAGTTGGAGAAAATAATAATTAGTTCATTAAAAATAAATAAGATGGTTAAAATCTTTCATACTGTTAAATTTCAATGTTTTCACATGAATTTAATAAATTAGTAGCATAGTTTAAATAGCAAGGAACTTAACCTTATCTGCTAAAAATGAATAAAATATGAAAAATGAAAGGTCACAAAAGGTAACTGTCTCTGTCCTTTATGTGCACATATTTTCTGCCTTACAAAATGCCCTATTAGAGCTAATTGGTCGATATTGGAAAAGTGCAGAAATACCATCTTTCTGTGTGGAAGATTGTGAACTGATCGCATAAGATGGAGATCCTTTGAGCAAAAGCTCAAGATTTCAGGCTTATTTAAACTACATAAGAGGAATATACCCTTATAAATAACTACACAAATGTCTCTCCCATACAGAGCCTCTAATGGTCTCTTCTCCTCTTAAGGCTCTTCTGTTGTTCCTTTGTTCTTAGGTCCTCAATCTTAGAAAATCCATCTCCCCCACGGCTTCCACTACCCTCCTTCCGGATCCTAATCTAAAAATCAGATCTCTGTTTTATTCAAACTCTAACCTCTTATCTTCAGCTACCAACTGGGAATTGTTATTTAAGTGTCCTAGAATAACTTCAAACTCAAAGTGTTTAAAACTAAATGTTCTGGTTCCTCTCCAGCATCACTGTCTATGTCTGTATTTGCGTTCATGCTAGGAATCTTGTATCTTCTTTGACTCATTTTCTTCTTTCTTCTCCATTCCCCAGAATCACTTTTACCACTTCCCCCATTCAAAATATGACTTCGCTCTCACAAAGCGATCACATCTGCTTGGATTACACTAACTTCTTCCCTCATTCCACTAACTTACCTCTTTTCTCTGCTTGTGTTGCCTCTCAGCATACCACTGGGTTATTCCTCTAAACATTCCAAACCCCTCACTGACCTCTTTTACCATCTGTAATTTCCCTTGTTGTATTCTCAGCACCTTCCTAATAAAGCCCCATTTTTGTCCAATTCTATGCTTTTTTTTATGCTATTCACACTTTATCTATTTTGGTCAGTGTCCAAAGTCCCATAGAATACTGACCATTCAGCTCACAAAATTTTTTCATTAATTTGCAATAATAGCACTCTGAAAAAAAAATAATAATAGTACTCTATTATTCACAGTCTCTGTTCACTTAAGTGCTTGTTAGGGTTAAGTATACCAGAGGTTCAACAATTATTGACTCAAGTATAAAGGCTAAAATACCATTTTTGAGGGTAGGGAGTACATATTGCTGGTGTAATAAAGAAATACATTTTGCCAGTCTCCTGGTCTATAGGGTAAGCTTTAATATATACTAATTGTACACACTCACTCATTATGCTTTGATTTTTGAACGTATTCTAGCTGATGCATTGTCTTGGGATTACTAAACTGAGATGGAATTGATAGGCCAATCCTGAGGGAGAAACACATCACTGACAATGTCAGGGTTATGGCATCCTGAGCATACAAAGGCCAGGTTGTACTGGATACATACAGGGTACAGAGGGTTAGCTCCCTGGTCTCCGCTCAAATTCAATTGATTTCATCTGATGTTGCTGGTGAAACCTTAACAAGGAACAGGAAATTCAATATTTTCCCCATGGAGGGATGGTACTTTCTACCCACTCAACAGAAATCTCATCCTCTTTTCCAAGTCTGTCTTCTCTTGACTACAAAAGAAAGGGAAAATTCATGCTATATTTAAGAAGACAAAAACACCTCAAGGTCCATACATTTCACCCAAATTCATCTCAGCTGTGTAATATTCTATTGAGTATATGTTCCATAATTTCTTTATCCATTCATTTATTGTAGGGCACTTAGGTTGATTCCATCACTGCAGTTGTGAGCAGTGCTGCTATATACATATGCATAGATAAATCTTTTTGTATTAGAGTTTGCATATTATTTGGATATAATAATAAATCACCTCAAGGTGATTATGTTGAAACATGTCAGCAAATGAAAGAAAGATATCAAATGGTTTTTCTCATCTCTGAAATATAAATACAAAAAAATATGTATAAAAATAGAGGGATAACTTGTACTTTACAAAAAGAAGAGAATGGTAATAGGGGAAAAGGTGGAGGTGACAGAGGAGGTAGGCACATGGGATATGGGAACAGGTGGCTTGGTGGAGGGATTTTTTAAAAGGCCAAGAAGAATTTAATTTCCAAGAAAATAAATTGAAGAGGAAAATAAATTGAAACACTGTATCTGGTTTCATTTTTCAAGTGAATCTCCTTAAAGATGTTTCTTGTGTTTGCTTTAATTTGATGATTTAGAAGCAAGATCTTAACAATTGAGGTGAGATTGACTTGTATTGCCTTATTCAGTCAGGTATTTTGGCAAAGAAGTTACTTCATGACTTGGAGAAGCAGTACGTTCTATCGCCAACACCATTAATTTTGATTCTCCTGCATAGCGGACCACTGCATAGCAATAAGTTGAATCCTCTCACCTTCCAAAAGCTAAAGGAAACTGACCTGATCACTCTCATTGACCTTATAGATTCTGAATGGCCACAATTGGCAACACCTATTGAACCTCATCTGGCAGAGCTAAGAAGGATTTTAAACTGAATTACATACATCCCTTGCAATCTCTTCAAGTCAGAAAGGTCCAAAATTGCATCAACACATAAGAAAATTTCAAGTAAGGAATTTACCAACAAGATCAAATCCCCTTAAAGAAAATTGGCATATTTTTGAGGAAGGAGAAAGCACATCTTTCTCAAAACAGTGAACGCTAGAGGTTTCCTATAATTCCTGAAATGTTTCTCACTTTCTCCTGTGTTCGCTTCCATTTTACTATTTCGATAATACATTTGAATTTCCGTGTGAAATGCCAGATGACATCACTAGTCCACCCACTGAGTTACATGGACACATTTTGATCTTCCACAGAGAAACTTTATGCATTTCTGTCACTACCTTTAGTGTTTTCAATTTAAAGCATCACCAAGTGAGAAGTCTTTACTTTGAGATAGATGAGGTAATTATTAGAAATGGGATAGTGTGTTTTCAGGACTTGGTAGACTCTGAGAGGGACTTGAAATTATTCTGCCAGCAAAGCACTTGATGTGTCTTTTACATACCACTTATACCCAATTAATGAAACTGTAAATGTCTGTTTATTTAGGGTAGTTTCATAGGAAGGAGAAGATGTATTTTCCACTTCAAAATAAAGTCCCAAGGATCTGAACTCCACATAAAACATGCATTCCTTTGGATTCGTTTGCTGGTGAATTTTAGACAGCTAACTTATTCATAGCCATTTACATCATAGTGTGAGCTAGTTCATTAGGCATTTTCTGCTGTGACTGCCAGCTGTTATTTTCATTTGGAGCAGGGAGAATAAGATAGATAGCCTCATTCCCAGGGTCTAGCAAGTTGATGAGATGACCACCCATCCCTCTGGTAAAGCATGGGAATCCACTGTGGCAATTACAGATGTCTGTCTAAGCAATGCAGGCAATCTGGGGCTACGGAAATATCCCTGT